CACATCGACTACACGCCGTGGAGCCCGGTGGAGCCCTATGAGGGGAGCCGATGGTCCATTGTTGGCTATCGAGTGCGAGCGCCGCCGCGAGAAACTCCCGAGATGAACAGGATCCTGATGGAGTACGGCTTCCAGGCAGACCTCTCCGGCGGACACTCTTCCAACTTCGCTCTTTGGACCGAGGAGATCGTCTGCGCAGCCCGCGGCCGTGCCTCTGAAGCTCAGTTCGAGAACCCTGCTTCATTTCCTGTCCTCTCTGAGGAGGCAGAAGAGGCCGTTGACGATGAGGACCAGCCCAGTGCCGCCGGTGAATCAGAAGTGGCCCGGCTTACGGAGGCTCAGAAGGCCATGATACGCAAGGTTCACATCAACACCGGACACCCGCCTCTTCATCGGTTCCTTCGCACTTTCAAAGCAGCCGGAACGCTGCCTCAAGTTCTCAAGTACATTCGCGAAGAATTCCGCTGCGAGGACTGCGAGGTCAGACGACGAGGAGATCACAGAAGGAAAGCACAATGCCCGAGAATTTATTCCTTCAACCGCGTCCTGTCCATCGACCTCCTCTACATCCACTTCCTGGATAAGTCTGTCCCGATCCTCCACATGGTCGACTCGGGGACTTCCTATCAAGTTGTTCAGCGGGTTGAGTCAGACGGCTCCGGTACTCCCTCCGCCGCTGCTGTCTGGAGAGCCTTCCTCAGTTCCTGGGTACGTTTCCTGGGACCTCCTTCGCTCATCATCTGCGACGGAGGAAGCGAGTTTCGCGGGGTCTTCGAGCGCGGGCTGGAACAGCTGGGAACACTCCAGCATATGTCGTGGCCCCAGAAAGTCCGTGGGCTAACAGCCGCGCGGAACGCCACGGAGGGTGGTTAAAGGAACGTCTCAAGATGGAAATCACTGGTGGTCGCTGTGCGCTCACCTCCCTCCTTGAATTAGATGAGATGCTTGCAGGCCTCACCTCCGCCAAAAATCGCTTCTTCAATGTCGGGGGCTACTGCCCGCGGCACAACTAGTCTTTGGGGAAATGCCAAGGATACCGGCCGAACTCCTCTCCTCACACCAGGGAGGATTGCAAGCCCTAGGGGACGCCTTCCACGATGTCGCTGGGATGGACGAAGTCGGCGCTGAGTTTCGCCGTCGCGTTGAAATCAGGGAGCAAGCCAAGAGGCTTGCCCTGGAGTCTGACAGCAAGGAGGCGATCAAGCGAGCAGTCCGCACCTCCTCGACCCCCACCAGGCACTGGAACCAAGGTCAATGGGTCTATGTCTTCCGTCGCGGGAAACCCGGAGACCCTCTTCATCCTGTCTCTCGCTGGGTTGGGCCCGGACTCGTAGTACTGCAGACCAAGTCAATAGTGTGGGTGGCGATGAGAACCCGTCTTTGGCGATGCGCACCCGAGCAACTACGACCTGCGGACCCTTCGGAGATGATGGGTCGTCAGTTGGCCACGGATCCCGCTCTCGGGGAACTTCTCCGGCAGGTGGTGTCTGGAACACAGGCCCGGGCTATTGACGTGGCCCGAGAAGGTCCGCCTCCAACCTCCAATGAAGAAGCTGACTCGGCTGTTCATCGAGTACCAGATGGGCCGGAGGTGACCGAGGAGGTTCCCATCAACTCGACGTCGACTGTCAGCGGTCCTCAGCAAGCACCCATGGACGTCCTACCAGTACCTCCAGGTCTTCTACCTCCTCCTCGAGTGACTCCTCCTCAACACGAGATGCCTCCCAGGTCAAGTGAAAGGCGACGAAGTCTTCTACCTCAGCGAGTCACGACTACTGTCGCTCCAAGGGATGCCGACTTGCCTCCCTCCTCCTCTGCGCCAAGCTCGAGACGCTCCTCTGTCCAGGAGCCTGCCCAGGAGCCTGAAGTATCCGGAGGACTCCCGGCTATCCACGAACGAGGAGTCCAACGAGCAGCCCGACTCGTCCGTCAGCAGGGAGCCTCCGTTGAAGGTACCACGTACTGGAGCTCAGGAGGAAGCCGCTTCCTCTTCAGCCGGAGCGCGAGCCCCGGGAACACCTATGGAGCCACTACTACAAGCCCTACGACGAGGGCGACAAGCTTCCGGAGAGGACGAGCCCATTGCCATTTCTGAACGAGGCCCTCTTCCAGCGCGACACCCTGGACGAGAGCTTCTCCTGGTTCTCGTACAAGGCGGAGCAGGGCTGGACTCTTCTGGCTAACCGAAACGACGAGGTGGACATCAAGAAGCTGGCGAGAGATGAGCAGGAGATGTTTCTCAAGTCCGATGCCGTGGAGTGGGAAGCAATCCTTAAGACTAAGGCGGTGAGGGTGGCCACTGGTGCGGAAGCCCAACGACTACGAGCTAAATATCCCGATCGAATTGTGAGCTCTCGAATGGTTCGCCGGAAGAAACCCACCGGCGATCTGCACCAGTGGAAAGCCAAGAGCCGCTGGTGTCTCCACGGTCATGCGGACCCCGATACCGGTCAGCTGTTGACTTTTGCGCCCACGCCTCAGGCTGAGTCGATGATGCTCTTTCTACAGTGCGGTCTTAGCCTGAACCACAGCTTCGCCTTCTGCGACGTGAAGAACGCCTTTTGTCAATCGCTGCCGCTGAAACGACCTAGAGGTCCTCTCTTCGCCGAGCCTTGTGAAGGACTCTGTCTCCCAGCCCGGAGCCCTCATTGTGATTGAGATTCCGGTCTACGGATTGGACGACGCTCCAGCTGCGTGGCGCGAGACCCGCTTCCTGGTGGAGGACATGAAATTCACCCGGAGCCTCGTGGAGCCCTGCTGGTTCTTCCGACATAATGCTGTCGGACACAATGAGGCCCAAGTCCTGGTGGAGGTCGACGACTTCATTGTCTCCACAGATCCCACCATCCGAGACGAGGTGCGCTCCGCTTTTGAGGCTCGATTTAAGTTCGGAAAGTGGGATCGAGACCAGGCCGACTACGCTGGTCGACGTGTCCGAGTGCTGGACGACCGCATCCTCGTGGACCAGGACCAGGAGAAGTACATCCTGGAGCAGCTGCAGCCGATCCACTTGGCAAAAGGGCGCCGCTCCGCCAAGGACCAGAAGCTCCTGCCCGACGAGTTTGCTGCCTTCCGCTCCATGATCTATCGAATCAGTTGGGTTGGGAAGGAATGCCGTCCAGAGATGTGCGGCTTGTCGTCGATTATGGCGAGCCGGCTGGATCGTGCCACCGTAGACGATGCCCTGGTTGTCAACCGGTGTGTGAACCACCTTCGGAATACCGCATCCCGACCTCTCACTATCTGGAAGATCCAGCCGTCGGACCTCTCCTTCGTGATAATCGACGAGCTCGGTCTTCCCGCAGATGCCACGCAGGGCGCCTGGATGGTGGTGGCATCCGAGGGCCTTCCCATCGGGGACCAGAAAGTCCGAGCCTCTCCAATCAGCTGGCGAAGCAGTAAGCTCAAGAGGGAAGTGTACTCCACCTTCGGAGGAGAGACACAAGCGATGCTGCAGGGACTAGCTGAGGGCGATTGGCTTCAGATCATGCTGCGAGACGCTCTGTTCGGAGATGTACAGTTAAGGGACTGGAGAAACAGCCTCAGTCCCCACATGCTGGTGATGCGCTCCTCCATCCAGGTTCCAGAGCGACAGCCACAGTGCAGCGTCACCGATGCCAAAAGCCTCTTTGACTGCTTGCTGAAGGAGCATCCTCAGGGAAGACAAGATCGCCGCTCGGCCCTGGAATTAGCAATCATCGTGAAGGACCTGCAGGAGACAAAGTCGATGGTCAGGTGGACGCCACATCAGAAAATGTTGGTGGACGCGCTCACCAAGGCGGACCCTCTTCGCAGCAACGGCGCCATGGACTGCTTTCTGAAGACAGGGTTGCTTAGCTTAGTGGACGTCGAGACCGAGCTGAGACAGCGGTCCGAAGACGTTAGGTTTCGCCGACGTAGTCATTCAGCTTCTGCTGCAAGATTGGCTCAGGAGTATGAAGCAGCACATACCGCGTTCTGGTCAACATTAAATGGGGGGAACTGTTCCGAGGATCCGCTTGTCATAGGAGTGCTCTCTTGACCAGAACAGTGGGAATGCTGCCGACCTGTACATTTGGCTCAAGGCCAACGATTGCGGCAGAGAAGGAAAAGGTGGTAGACAGCAGTGCATGTGCGAGCCGCTTCATCAGTTTCCGCTACAGTTGGTAGCGGAGCGCCCTGGTCGGGATGGCCGAGGGTGCTCGTGAGCCCACACTGCGCAACATGGAAAATCTCGCCAGTCCTGCTGACTCCTTCTTACCTACTGCTGCTGCAGGGCCTTCGTGGAGTGACTGGGAGTGGAGCCAGCCTTGGAGCTGGCAGAGCTGGTCATGGGGTGGATGGCGCGACGATCGCTGGCCCACATGGAGTCAGCGGCCTTCCTATGCAACGACTTCGATGCCATCCGATGACGGCCAGCCTAGGCCTCCTTCACAGTCCACTGGGGTGACTGTCGAAGGCGGCGGAGAACCTCCTAGTGCTCCACCGGATTCCGCTAGACAAGCAGCTTCTGCTTCAGGGACTCAGACGACTCTTGGAACCCGGTTTCTGTCTTCACCGGGAGAGCCGACTGCGTCCACTGCTTCGCGACCCGAGGCTACCTCTTCAGGCGAACCGACCGCTTCTTCCGCAGCACGATTCGGATCTACCTCAACGGGCGAACCGACGGCTTCTTCCTCAGCACGATTCGGAGCTACCTTATCAATGGGCGAACCGACGGCTTCTTCCACGGCACGATTCGGAGCTACCTCATCGGGCGAGGACCCATGGGCAAGTGCACTGGCATCTAGGTCCTCTCCTCCAATGATTTCGGGCCCAGAGCCCACTCCAAGGACTTGGGAGAATCCGGGGTGGGACAGATGGACGTCACAGTGGAGCTGGCAGCATGGCTACAACGGCGGCAAGGGAGACTACTCTGATCCTCCCGCCTGGCCAGGCTGGTCCTATCGACGTCAATGGACTCAGGCCATCAGGAGATGGGATAAGACCACGGACGTCCCCCTGTAGAAGCGGGCCGACAAGATCCTTCGCTCGCTTGGCTGGGAAATGCAGTCCAGCTTTGATCACCTGACTGAGGTTCAACTCAGCTCCACCACGTACCTCGACGACATCCTCTCCGTGCTGGAGCTCAAGGCTGGAGTTCGGGAAGATGATGAACGGCGCCACGCCTTCAAGACGATCATGTACGACGGTGGCCGAAAGAAGGACGAGTCCCTGGGGCAATATGCAATGCGGCGTCTCAGGGACTACAACCAAGCGGCCACCCACGGCATCAACATCCCCGCCGAGTTCAAAGCTTCCATGCTCCGGGAGGGTGCCAACATCTCTGAGCAGACTCAACAGAACCTGACGACTCTCGCTGCATCGCTGGCCCGGCTTGATGTTAGGGCTGACCGTCTTTCGGGCTTTGTGTATAGCTCCCAAGGACAGGATGCCTCCTACCTGGCGGCCGAGGCTAACGACGCCGCTGCCGAGGACGAGGACGATGGCTCGGACTCTGGCGAGGAGGAGCTGGAGAATGCCGAGCAGTTCTACGCCGAGCTCGCCGACCTCGACATGGACGAGGAGCAGATGGGTTGGGTCCTGGCCACCTTGGACGGGCGTGGCTTCCACAAGCGCCGCAGCTGGAAGGAGAATAAGAAGTTCAAGGCCGAGGCCAGAAAGGATCGAGGGTCTTTTGTCAAAGGCCATGCCGCCGCTGAAGCTCCTCGAGGCCAGTTTGGTGGAGCTCCCGGCCAGAAAGCCTCCTTCTTCAAGCCGCGCGGTCCTGCGAAGAGGGGTCGAATGTCCGTCGACGAGCTGAAAAAGGTGACCAAGTGCCGGCTCTGTCACAAGCGAGGACATTGGTCTGCCGAGTGTCCAACTCACCGCGGCGGAACAGGTCCGGAGAACGTCGCGCGGGTGTCCGGCTTCTGCTACCTCGGTAACGAGATCGACTACCAGGAGCCCCCGGCTTCCTCCTTTCTCGCCTATGCGACTCAGGTCATGGGATGCACGCTGGCCGCTGCCTCCTCCTCATCATGGTCCTTCTTAACGATACCGTCCGCTATGGGAATACTCGATATAGGAGCAACCCAAGACTTGATTGGGACAACAGCTCTATGTGCTTTGGAACATGAACTTGGGAAGAGCGGCTTACGAGTCATTGACATCCCTCCTCCTTCGTTGGCCCCCACCGGCATAGGAGGAGCTGCCAAGGTTGTGAGGGCAGTCCTTGCCCCGATTTCGCCTGGCGGCGTTCCGGGCGTCGTCCACTTTATTGTGGTCCAGGAGAACATCCCGCCGCTCTTGTCCGTCGGCTTCCTGGAGCACCTTGGCGCCTCCTTCGACTTGAGGTCGAATGAGATCAACCTTCAGGCCATCGGGGTTCAGATGAAGATGCATCTGTTGCCGTCTGGGCATCGGGCTATCCCGTTGGTCCAGTGGAATGGGCAACATTTTCCGGTGCCCCCTCCGGCACGAGTGGCGCATGGTCTCACAGAGGACGCTGTCATGAAGAAGTCCGACTCCAAGGCCTCCTCCACGTATGCAAAAAGTTCAGGGTGGTCTACTCGTGCTCAGCCAGGATCTGCCCTAGGAGAGTCTTGTGATGGTCTTCAAGAGTCGACTGCCGTTTCCGTGAGCGCCGCTGTTCAACAGTCGCAGTCATCTGTCCAGTGCATCGCTGCCTCGAAGCCACAGTCTGCCGCTTTCTACCAGTCAACCACCAGCAGCGGGGATTTCGAGCCCAAATTATGTGTTGTCGATGCTTCCCTCGGCTCAGCTGTTGCTCTCATGGGCAATCGATCTGCCAATACGGCACCCCAATTCGAACCTCCTCGTCGGAACGATGGATGCCCCGCCTCCTTCGGCGGAACCGACTGGGACAGCCGCAGTGCAGCGGCGATGGAGGATGTTAATGGCCCGCGTCTTCTACATGTTCGAGACGGCTCGACTGGGATACCGCCGACTGGCGGTGGCCGAGACCACGACAAAGAGCGTCCATTCCGACCGCAAGAGCTACTTGGTGAGCAGCAATCAGGAGCCGGGCAAATGCGTGCACTCGGGCGAGCCACTGCACCGTGCGAATCAATATGCCATGTGGACGGTGTGTCGCCAGTGTTCAGCGAGGCTCACCTACACCTCCAAGAACAACCGAGCCAAGGCACGGCCCCAAAGGCGAGCTCCTGCGGACGCTACTTCCTCGACGACTCCCCCGAGCTTCGCGTCTGCCGCACCAACCACGAGCTCGACACGCCGGACCGCGACTATAAGCCCGAGTGCTCCACCGACGGAGGAGATCCACCCGCAGCTCAACCACACTCTGCAGGCTCTGGCGGCGGGGTTTCAGGACATCGGTGCCTCTATGCGCGACCTGGCTCAGGGGCAAAGTCGTCTTCTACTGATGTTGAACCAGGCTTCCTTCTCGGCGGGCCCAATGGAGACCCTGGAGGAGGCCCGTCGCCATGACGTCAACATGGCCCAGCGCCTGGAGCACGAGTCTCAGATGTCAGTGGACGGAAGTCAGGACGACTCCTCTCCTCAAAGCTGGGCAAGAGTGTTACCTGGGGCGAACTTCACTCCGGAGGAGGGCCCCGAAGCGAACCCGAACATCGAGGACCTTCCCTGACAATGTGGCCACGCTGGATGACGCTGTCCATGGCCTCCTTGGCAACTTCTCTGATCGGCTGGGAGCAGCTCTCCAGCCAACTTCAAGGCACGCTCTCTTCGGCTGGAGGAGATCGAGATTGCTGGGCGGTCTATTACCCGCTTTGAGGCAGGACTCCATCAGCAAGGTGATTCCGGAGGACCGATTTATATCTCAGGGCCCAGGTGCGCCTCAGGCCCTCTCGCGGACTCTGGGAGAGAGCCACGTGACTGGGGAGCGTTTCTGGCAGCGACCTCGGCGTCTACGGCTACTGGAGAGCTGCAGAGACCTATCTCTCCAGCCCATTGGCTTCGACTCAGAGGGCGCCCTCAATACCCAAGGTCCCTACTGGCTTGTGCGCGCCCCCCGTCTTCGCGATGAACTGGACGACGCCGCCGAGGCGCAGATCTACGCGGAGGACCACGAGCTCTACAAGGCGGCACGAGGACTGGAGGGTCTGGCCAGAGATCAGGCTCGTGACTTCTCTGGTCAGACGGTGGACTATGCCGAGCTGTTTTACACTTCCTCTGTCATTCCGCTAGCTCGAGCCAGCGGCCTGAAGACTCCCCCCAACCACGAGAATTTCTCCGAGCAGGCCGGCTGGTCCGAGCAGAAGAAGGAGCATCGGCAACGTTTTCGGAAGTTCCTCCGGGATCGAGCTCCTCGACTACTAGGAGTATCACTAAGGAGCTCCGGAGGTCATCTTTCGGACCCGACACTCGCCACGGATCAGCTGCGTCAAGGCATGGCCATCGAGGCGGTCAAGGAGCAGCTGAAAGGACGTCGATGCTTCTATCTCGAGGACTATGTCTCCTCCCGGCTGTGGGACCAGCCAGCATGGCACGATCTCGTCTCCGAGAACTCTGTGGTTTTTCGAGCCGCCCGAGATCCTGGAGGCAAGGCGGTGGCCACGAACGACCCAGCGCTTGCTCGAGCTCTCTTCCGCCAGGACGAGAAGGATTTGTGTTTCCAAGGTGTCGCAAGCCACTTCACCCCACTCTCCACTGTCGAGCAGGGTCAGCTGTCCGACTCCGAGGCTAAAGCCTATCAGCTGCGGGCGGTGAAGAACTATTCTCGCTCCGCGTGTGTGAAGCTCCTGGAGGCCACCAGTTGGAAGGACGAGCCCCACACCTCAGGACGAGGACAGTCCTGGCGGAGTGAATGGTATCGCACCTTAGGCAAGTTCGTTCATGGAGGGGTTTCCGGATTGACACGATGTTCTCGTCATCATCAACAGCTCTCCCTCTACCTCAATGAGTTCCTGGACTTCCACGGCAGCTCCGAGCCCCGAACTTCCATCACCATCAGCAAGAACGCCAGGCCAGGCATGCATCGTGACGTCAACAATCTGGGGCGCAACAGCACCATGGCTCTGGGGAAGTTCTCCGGTGGACAGCTGTGGGTTGAAGATCCAGCCGGGACTCTTCATCGACGCGATCCTCAAGGAAAGTGGCGACGAGGGCGACTACTTCCTCAGGCCGGCTTCTACAATTCGACCCACA